GACGCCACATTTATGCAGTGATGTCTTCCAAACAAAAAATAAAATTCAAAGTAAATGGCCTGCCTACCTATAAATTCAAAAAACAGATTTACATCAGTATAATGCAAAATTTTCTTTCTGTTCAATGAATAAAAGAAAAAAAAAGGTCTTAGAGTTTTAAGTAATTTCAATAACATTTCTATTACTTAATTCAATAACAGTAATTGCTCAACGTTTTACTGAGTTGTAAGAATCAAAAATGTAATTACATAACTATAATAGCTACAAAATTTTGTTTATGTTCAATAACCAAAAGAAAAATATTCATTTTGTAGTTTCTAGGTATTTCTGGCCATATTTATAGTATTTTATTCAGTAAGTAAAAAATAAAATCAAGAATGTTGAATATTTATTATTACATATCAAATACACTAGGGAAGATGTCAACGTTCCCATTTTGGGAACATATAAAAATTCTGAATTTTTACAGATTTTTCATTATTGGGTCACATAGGAGCCACTAAAGGGTTAAGTATGAAGTATAATTTTGAAACATCCTGTACCATGTTTAAACTTTCCTGAATAAATGTTATGGTTCTCAATGAGCCTCCGGAGTAATTTTATTCCATTAGTACAAGTAGCTTTTAAGATATAATCATTTTAAATAAGGAGATTTATTTATAATTGCTTCGCATCAGTCTTTCACATTTTTAGTGATACTAAATAACAACAACAAAAAACATGAAGCTAATAAAGTGAAAACATGATTGTTCATATTTGTTACGTCTCCGTTTGTTAATTAATTTTCCGTAACTTAGTTCCGACGAAACTTTAGTGACACAAGTCCTTTCTTAAATAAAACTGGTTTATTCTTTCTGAATATAACTTTACCGATACATTCAACTTTAACAGTTGCGCTATAACAAACTATAATTCACGTATCACAAGCTAGACTTCAACAATACGTCTCTCTCTGACTAGTGTTCAATTACTCAGTACCTACACACACACATTATTATTCCGTCACGTTGTCACCCTCTTTTATATACCAGACTACCCTATATCTAGTAAATGCTAGAGCATTCGCCAAGGTACAGGATAGTTCTAGGAACGTGGCGTGACACTAGTCATGTGACTTCGCTGATGCAACAATAGTATCGACTTGATAAATATGGCTCTTCATTCTGTATCACGTGATTAACTGCTAGCACATCTGTAACACGAGATCACATTCACTGTGACTGTATATACTCACAAACATCCAAGAGACAACTTTAATGAACTATGCAGTAACAAGTAAAAGTACCCGTCCCCACTGACGGGAAAAGTTTAAGTTAATCTATCAATTTAAATTATTCCATGTCTTCAAAAAGGTTAATTGTGTTGCACTCTTGGTTTAACTCAGAGCCAAAGCTCAGAGCTACTTATACCACGAAAAGTAATTGTTGAGCATTTCAGTCGTTCTAAAAGCCACTCAACAATAACATACGGTAAATCTAAATTTTTATTCTTTAAGTTACGTCACATTTTGAAATGTGTATGATAGTGTGATTAATTCTTAACAACAACAACAAGTTAAAGCTTGGAATGGTCTATTCTTTCATTGAAGATGAGGAATCCTAACTTACACAATTTCCCTGGTGATACATTACAATTACAGCTTCTTCCCAGAGAAATTTAGTCTGTGAGCCAGACTAGTTTTGGAGAATTCCACTCCTCATCAGTGACTCTGGACACTACCACCAATGAAAGTTCAGACCAAACCAAGTCTTTATAGTAGTGAGATATCCAAAATCTGACTGGTGTATTTAAGTGTTTTACAATCACAAAAAAGAAACCTATCATTCTCCAACTCTACTTATTCAATTGAAAATGAATAATTCATTAATTAAAAAAAGATGTGGTTGTGGCCAACTGTTTTGGTAAAAACAAAATACATCCAAGGTCTGATAACTGTGGACTGGATTAATTTAATTAGCATTGAATAAGCAATTTTCAAGATAGTTTGAAATTAAGTTAACGAACCAAGGCTGACTTTTATTATTATACTTAAAAGTTAATAGTTTTCAATAAAAAGTCTCAGACTTATTTTGGGTTAAATGATCCACCACTACCAAAATATATCCAAAAAAAGTAAAATTTCACAACCCTACCCCATAGATAGATATGGTGAGTTCTATCTCTTGAAAATTAGAAAAAAAAACACTTAGATGTTGTTTTAGTAGTAGGTAATAGTTCATTTTGAACAGTGTAAGAAGTTTAACTAAACTGGCCATATGAAGGTGACATTTTTGAATTATTATTGCAGATACTTACTGGGTCTTGAAGCAAATTTGTGTTAGCAGTCCAAAACACTGACTTCAAACTATTGCAGTTAAATGAAGCTTGTTGCAATGATGGCAGCAGTAAGTTAAAAAGAGTTATTTAATTAATATAGAATCATCAATTGAATTTACATATGAAGCTGAAGAAAATCATACTCTACCTTTTCTAGATGTACTTGTCAAAAATGATATAGATGTAATTTAGAAAGATCAGTTTGAAGAAAAAACCTTTTCATGTCACCACATGAAGAATTATGACATATAAAAATACAAAACATTTCTGCATTTTATTTTATAATTATATTTATAGTGTTTAAGATATGTTCTTTTCAGGAAGATTTATGTAATAAATATATTAATGGTTCAATGTTAGTTAAAAATATGTTTATGAAAAACTAAAAAAAAGAAACTTTAAATTTACCTTATATTCCAGGATTAGCAGATCAGTTATTTAATGTTTTTAAAAAACAAAAAGTTTATCCTACCTTCAAACCTATGAATAAGAATAAACAAATGTTGGGGAATACCCAGGACAATATAAGATTAAAAGATAAAATTTTAATATGTGAAATACAATTTAAATGTGATAGTATTTATCTTGGTCAAACTAAAAAATATCTTAAAATATGGATTACAGGAATGGTATTTAAAACACAATAAAACAGAAAATTCAGCCATAGTAGAAAACTTACAAACAACACAACACAATTTTATGGGACAAAATTAACTCAAATTCACAGTATTACAGCTTGAAGTATCAGGAAATCATTGGAAATACTAAAATGTAAAAAAAAGAAAAGAAAAAGTATTAAACTAAGATGAAAGTCCAGCAAGTCGTTGCACTGATATATGGCATGACAATGAAATACACCCATTGGTGATGTCACAAACATAACCTTGACATTAGCTTAAATAAAACCTACTCATTAACTGACGATCAATTCAAGTAAAGATCAGTCAATATGTGTTTCCTTCCTAAATACTTTTGTTGTGAAAGCATTCTTAACCTTACTAACCATGAAATTAAGAAAAGATAACTCACCCTCATTCTTATGAGTAAACTTAATATCAAGATGTAATGAATTTAAAAATAATAAAGTCAGCAAATGTATCAACGTATTTGACAAAAAGCATAATCCTAGATTAACCATACTTTTAACTTTATAATCAAGCATGTTCCTAAAAATGTTAGCTAGAACAGGTACTAATGGACTGCCCATACTTATTCCCTCAATCTGATTGTAAAATTCCTCATTAAAATGAAATGCAGTTTGTGTTCTTGTAAAGATTAACATTTGTTTTAGAACTTCTGAAGGAAGTTGTGTTCTTGGATTTTCATCTTGTATAAAGCAAGATAGAGCACAATCAATAGATTCATTTAATTATGTAAAAATGAAATATTGTATTTTAATTATCAGATTTTAAACACTACACTGATGTTTCAGAGCTTACAGTTCATCTATGTGGACTGAAGTTTTCACATGTGTCAAAAGATACAGTTTAGAATTACAAATTGATGTTTCTAGATGTCACAAATTCCAGTTCAACAATGCAAACTGAAACTTCCAGATGTATCACATGCTACAGTTTAACACTGTAAATTGAAGATTCCTGATGTGTTGTTTACAGTTCAATAATGCAAATTGAAGTTTTCTAATATTGTATTATTTAAAGTTCAAAATGCAAATCAAAGTTCTCAATCTTAATTATAATTAAGAAATGCAGACTGCAGTTTCTGAGGTGTGTCACAAGTTACAGTTTAATGATGCAGATTGAAGTTTTGAGGTATTTCATGAAGCTACTAAGTCAGCACACATATTGGCATGAGAAGTAATACTCTGGATGTCATAAATCTCATTACAAACAGGACATTCTACAAAACTCTCAGGAGAGCTGGAGTGGGGTGATAAGTCTGGTCTGTTGGGTTCTTCCATACAAACAGCTGCATGGTTTTCAACATCTGCCTGTGGAAAATATTCTGTTGAAAAAATAAGTATTTTAGTGAGTTTATGAGGTTGTTATGAAACTTTCCGAATTTTGGAGTAATGAATAACTGAAGATTAATTCAGATGCAATGCCTAAAACAAAACTTGTTGCTGGTTTAATGACATATATTTAATCATAACAGGCATTAAGCACATTTCTAGATTCATTTATAGTCATTTCCATTAATATAGAAACTACCAAAACACTAATGGTATATTTTTATTATGATCAACCTCTCTTTCATGATAATTGTCTGTTTTCACAATAACTAAAAGTAGACATTGATAACTGTTTTCAAAATAATTAAAAACACACTTTGACAGTTGTTTGTTTTCAAAGTAAAGTTCATCTCGAAAAAGTGTTGGTTTTTACAATAACTAAATGTACTTCATGAAAATTGTTTGTTTTCATAATAATTAAAGTACATCTTGGCTAATAATCAACTTTCCTTAATCCTCTCTCTCCTACAAATCATCATACAATCATTTGAAAATGCCAATGTCGCCTCTAACTCAATCTGAGCTGAACAAAAGATAATTTTCGTAAATACCAAACCAGCCCTTTCAATCAATCTGTAACTTGCTGTTGAAAAGAAAATATTTATTTTATGTATGAAGACAAATAACTTACTTTTTTAAGTTTTAAGATGGTATTAACAAACAACGGGAACAATATATATTGTTGAGACATCGAGATCACATGACTACAGTGACGCCACATTTCTAGAACTATCCCGTATCTTGGCGAATGCTCTAGTATTTGCTAGATATAGGGTAGTTTGGTATATATAAGAGGGGACAACGTGACGCGAGATGTCTGTGAAGATAGTGAGTAATTGAACTGCAGTCAGAAGTATTATTGACGTTCGTTGTTATAGCGTTTGTTTAGCGCGATTGTTGAGGTTGAGTGTATCGGTAAGGTTATATTCGGAAAGAATAAACCAGTTTTATTAAGTAAAGACTTGTGTCGTTAAAGTTTCGTCGGAGCGAAGTTACGGAAAGTTAATTAACAAACGGAGACGTAACAAATTGGTGTCAGAGAGTGGGACAGAAAAAAAAAAAGAGAAGAAAAATGGAAACGAGAA